TCAGTGGTAGAGCACTTGCCTTGCATGCATGAGGCCCTGGGTTTGATTCCTCAGCACCACATAAGCAGAAAAAGCCAGAAGTGGTGCTGTGGCTCAAGAGATAGAGTGCTAGCCTAGAGCTGAAGAGCTGAGGGACAGCACCCAGGCCCAGAATTCAGGCCCCACGAGAGACAAGAAAAAAAAAAAGTACCTACTACTATCCACACGAAGGGTTAGACAGTCTTTATTCCTATTTTATGGATAACCTAACGGTTCAGTTCATTAGGAAATTACTGAGCTGCCATGGTTAGCATCATGGCTGTTAAAAGATAAAGTCAAGATTCCAGACCAGGCAATAAATTAACTTCTCCAGTTCCTGGTAAGATTATAACTCAGACCAGCTTGAAATGCTGTCTGCAGCAGAACTCACTGCCAGAAAGACAGTGATACTGTAATGACAGCTAATAGATTCAAATAAAATAATAAAGGGATTTATCAAGATGTGAAAATTAGCCAGGCACCAGTGGCTCACACCTGTAAGCTTAGCTACTCAGGAGGCTGAGATCTGAGGATTGTGGTTCAAAGCCAGCCCGGACAGGAAAATACATGAGATTCACATCTCCAATTAACCACCAGAAAACTGAAAGTGGCACTGTGGCTCAAGTGGTAGAGTGCTAGCCCTGAGCTAAAGAGCTCAGGGACAGCGCCCAAGCCCAGAGTTCAAGCCCTGTGACCCCCCCCCAAAAAAAAAAAAATTAAAAGGCTGTGAAAATTAAAAGTAGGGAGTAAGCAACATTCAATGAGCTGACCACTCCTTCACTTACTTACACTGGGAAAATGAACTAGTCAATTATGTAGCTATAAACACATTTACATCATGTATATAACCAGTTCTTACCTTGTGCAAATGCCGAACATGACTTTCCAAAAAAATCTTTGTTTCTGTATAAAGTCTTTCTCCAAGTGGTTCAGGATAGGCCACACATAAAGCATAGATATCTCTAGTTAAATTATTAAGGTTTTCATATTCATTACAGTTATCATTTAAGCCAGATACAGTAGCTCACACATGTAATCCCAGTTACTCAGGTGAAGGTAGGGAAGAGATCACAGTTCAAGGCCAGTCTGGGCAAAAAGTTAGCAGGACAAAAAGTTAGTAAGATCTCTACCAATAAGCCAGGCACAGTGGTATGTGCCTGCATCAACCTATCTACATCGAAGGTGTAAGAAAGATCATGGTCCAGCCCAGTCTAGCAAAAATGAGAGGTCCTATCCCAAAATAACCAAAAGAACTGGTAGTATAGTTTGAATGGGTCAAATGCCTGCCTAGCAAGCTTGAGGCCCTGAATTTAACTAAATAAGTAACTGTAACACAGTAACAAAAAAGGACATGACAATAAAAAGACAGACTCCTAAGAATACTATCTGGAAGTTACTTGAAATAATATATAGAATAAAAACAAATAAGAATTTGCTACTTGGAGCCCATGGCTCACACCTGTAATCCTAGCTACTCAGGAGGCTGAGATCTGAGGATCACAGTTTAAAGCCAGCCTTGAGACTCTTATTTCCAATAAACCACCAGAAAACCAGAAGTGGTGCTGTGGCTCAAGTGGCAGAGTGCTAAACTTGAGCTGAAAAGCTGAGGGGCAGTACTCAGGCCCAGAGTTCAAGCCCCATGACCAAAAAAAAACTAAAAAAATTTGCCAACATTTCTAAAGTGAATGTCATATAGTGGGTGAAAAGTATGGTATCTGGGAAATCATCAATTAGGTAACAAGGATTAAAAAGTGGCAAATGTGCTGGGAATGTGGCTTAGTGGTAGAGTGCCTTCCTAATATGCATGAAGCCCTGGGCTTGATTCCTCAGTACCACATAAACAGAAAAGGCCAGGAGTGGCACTGTGACTCAAGTGGTATATGCTTGCCTTGAGCAAAAGCAGCTGAGGGGCAGTGCCTACGCCCTGAGTGCAAGCTCCAGGACTGGGTAAAATAAAATAAAATGTGGCAAAAATGTAGAACTACATTTAGTATCTATTAGCCTTATACATTATAATGAGTGTTACTTGTAGATGTCATGGTTTCATATGGGGGAGAAGGGGGAGGCTGGGTGCTGTCCCTGAGCTTTTCTGCTCAAAGATATCACTACCATTTAAGCCACAGCTCTACTCTTGGCTTTTGAGGCAGTTAAAAGTCTCACAGACTTTCCTGCCAGGTTGGCTTCAAACCATGATCATCAGATCTCAGCCAGTAACAAAGATTATAGGTGTGAACCACCAGTACCCAGCAGTTTTTTGTTTTTGTTGTTGTTATTTGTAGGTACAGATGACATGATTTCTTTCTCTGGCTTTGCTAACTTTTCCAGTACTAGCCTTTTTTTTTTTTTTTGGTCCGGTCGTGGGGCCTGAACTCTGGGCCTGGACACTGTCCCTCAGCTCTTTAGCTCAAGGCTAGCACTCTACCACTTGAGCCACAGCACCACTTCCGGCCTTTTTTCTTTTTGCTTATTTGGTGCTGAGGAATCGAACCCAGGGCCTCAGGCATGCAAGGCAAGCGCTCTACCACTGAGCCACCTTCCCAGCCCTCCAGTACTAGCCTTGAACCTGAGATCTGCCAGCTTCTGCCTCCCAAGCAGCTGAGACTACAGATATGCACCACAATATCCAGCTCATAAGTTCTCTTTCTAATAGTTATCAGGACTGGGAAGGTCAGAGACTACCTGATTAGACTGCTCATGCCAGATAATATAAATTAAAAGAAAGAACAGTACAACTGGTTTTAAATCATAGAAAGATGATCTCACTTTCCTAGCTGGAAGAAATACATTGAAGGAAATCAATCATAAATCTTCCATAGTATTACCACTTCAGATTTTTATTTTTGGTCAGTGGTGGGGCTTGAACTTTGGGTCTGGGTGCTGTCCCTCTGCAATTCAGCTCAAGGCTAGCAGTCTACCACTTGAGCCACAGCGCCACTTCCGGCTTTTTCTGTTTATGTGGTGCTGAGGAATTGAAACCAGGGCTTGCAAGGCAAGCATTCTACCACAGAGCCACCTCCCCAGCCCTACTTTGTATTTATATGCTACAATGTAAAATTCAACTTGTCCTTGTAGGAAAGATATTTCTTATACTGCTAGGACTTAAGGATTAGTCCAAACAGCTACTAAAAGGCAGAAAAGCATCATTAAAGGGAAATTAAAAGTCAGTTCCAACCAAGTCACACAAACAGAACCTCTAGATTTCCAGCTAGCTTCTCAACTTAGAAAAGCACCACATAAAGGGGCTGGGAAGGTGGCTCGGTGTCGTAGAGCACTTGCCTTGCATGCATAAGGTCCTGGGTTCGATTCCCCAGCACCACATAAGCAAAAAGAAAAAAA